AAGATTGACGATGTGGATGATGAAGAAGACGATGAGAATAAAGGTGAAGGTGATGATGACGATGACGATAATGTTTACAAATGTTTCTACAAATAACGTTTAATGTTTAAGCAGACTCTTGCCTGTCGTTTCATCTTTCTAATAACACTTTGTATGTATACATACATACATAAATATGTATACATGCATATACGTACATATATATACAAGTATATATATGTACACAGATATGTTTATACATATGTGTATATATGTTTGCCATATAGAATGAATTGGAAGAATATATGTATAATGTTATAAAAAGCCTAGGATCATCATCTTCACAACATTCTCTATTAAGAAAACAAACTATAACATCAACGAAGATGGATGCATGAATGGATGGATGGATGCATGGATGGATGGATGGATGCATGAATGGATGGATGGAGGCATGGATGATTAGGCAGATGCATGTTTGTATGAACAATTGAACTAACAAATGAACCTATTTTATATCAGGTGAACAAACAAACATAAAATAGATCAAAGTCTAATCAATCACACTAAAAAACACTTGTTCGTTAATTCATTCATCTGTTGACTCATGGTTTAATTATTTAATTAATTAGTTCCTTTATTTATTTATTCATTTGCTTATTAATTCATTCGTTCGATTTTTCGTTCGTTCGTTTGTTCATTTGTTTGTTCATTCGTTTGTTTGTTTCATCAATGATCCATCCATTGAATCATTCTTTCATTCATTATTAATTCATACACTCATTCATTCATAAGTTTAGTATTCAGTTATTCGTCCATCCGTACATTTGTCAATCCATCCCTGAAAAATTAATGTTGTAGATACCAAATTCATGTGTATTCATATCTAGAGTTTTTAACTGCACTCAAAAGCGCTGGACCACAGATACCTAAACTGATACTGGCTTTTAAATGTTTTCCTACCTATTTTTCAAAATATTGCCGATAAAGCCGATAATTTTGCATCTATTAAACCGTGCTTCACAAAAGCAGAACTATTATTCTATCAGGAGATATGCTTTTTTTGGTAGTTAATAATACATACACTATGTAATGACCTCATTACGATGCACTGTTAGAATCAGCTCGATTGAATAAAGTTGTGAAGATGAATAAAACTCTTAAAGTAGGCGTCAAAGTGTAAGTTTAAATAATTCTTTTTTGACACTGAGATTTGAAATGGTCATTAATGAAAATGTATTCAATTGAGGTTTATCGGTATCGAGTATCGATTTTGTTTCTGTCCAAAAAGAATCGGTTATATGAC